GGTTACATAGTATCTATCAAAGAATGGGCCAGCCCTCACCCCATGTCCCAGGGAGAATTCCTAGTAATCCTCCCAGTGCCATTGCCCCTGTTCTGCCCTTGGCCTCTTCCGCTCGACCGCTGCATTGTTACTCGGGAGGCCTGACCGAGACTGCAGTGGACGAGTCTTGCAATTTGCTTCCGAGGAGGAAACTTGTAACCACGTCTTAAAAATCTGAAGGCGGGCATGGTAGCTTGGGTCAGGCCACCGACATAAATTCTGGTAATAATACTAAAGGCGATGTGTACATTTATGTTCGGGAAAACTGGGCAAGCACAGGGGGAGGACGCGTTCATTGGCACCCCAGGCCACCTGAATTACAGTCTTCCCTGGGGTGGACTTGCCAGCCAGGAGGAACCGGCTTCATCTCTGCCTGGGTTTTGTGTCTCTCTCTTGCTGGTGCCCCCAGCAGAACGAGAGGAATTGCCCGGGAAGTGGGAGTTCTGAACTTAAATCACCCACTGCCTTTGAATCCGGGAGCCCTGGTGGCAAAGTGGGCTACACAAGGTCAGCAGTTCAAAGCCAGCAGCCGCTCCTCTGGAGAAAGATGGGGCTTTCTACTCTTACAGTGTCGGAAACTCACAGGGGCAGTTCTGCCCCTGTTCTATAGTGTTGCTTTGGGTCAGCCTCTGTTCTATGGCATCTTTTTGACCATTCAATCCCCCCTGACTCAGGACCACCCTGCAGGACAGAGTTGAATTGCTCTGTCGAGTGTCCGAGGCGGTACGTTGTTACAGAAGCAGGCTGCCTCAACTTCCTCCTGAGGAGCGGGCTGGTGGGTTCCAATCACCCACCTTTTAGTTAGCAGCCCAACAGCTCGCGTGCCCACGGAGCCGCCAGGCCTGCCTTCGGCTCTCCCTTTACCTGTTTCTGGAGCCCCTAGGTGGCACCGATTAGAGGTTCACGTCTGCTCGGGCGCCTCAGACAAAAGGCCTGGTGGTCTGTGTCTGGACAACCAGCTATTGGGGCCGCTGGGAACGAACCCCTACTCGGAGACGTAGGAGGTCCCCACGAGGCGGAGTCGGCTGGATGGGATGGGCGCTGGTGCTCCCTTCTAAACTTCACTGTGAATTAGGTGAAGCGCAGATCACCCGTTTTACATGCCAGAACTCCTACGTACTTTGTGGCAAGGTGTCCATTGCAACCCTGCGGCACCCACAAGGTGTCCATTGCAACCCTGCGGCACCCACGTCTTCCCTGCGTCTCGGCCTTCCTGACCTCCCTTCCCAGCCTCTGGGTTTGGTCCCTGGGTGAATGCCGTGTCCTTGAATGGTTGGTTATATGGTAACACGGGGGTGACTAGGGGCCACAGTCGGCAGCAGTGGTTCTCAACCTTCCTCGTGCCGTGACCCTTTAGAACAGTTCCTCATGTGGTGGTGAAGCCCCCTGCCCCAACCGTAACATGATTTTTGTTGTTACTTTGTAAGTGTCATGTTGCTACTGTGATGAATCGGGTGACCCCTGTGAAAGGGTCCTTCGGCCCCCAAAGGGGTCGAGACCCAGCAGTTCTCAACCTGTGGTCTAGAGGTTCCATCCATCTCTTATCTGACTCCACATTTTTTGCCCACTCTATCTAGGACCTTCTAGCGAGATCCTTTTCAGAGGGGTTGGTGGTGGGAGCCGGGCACAGACCTGGTGTTTTTGAGATGCACGGATTCTTGGTTGATGGCCAGTTTCGAGCCGCTGTGAAGTACCTGTCAGATGGTCTAATGGGTGACAGGTATCTGAGTGGCCTGGGATGGGTTTAGTGCCTTACAAGTGGGGGTCCTTGGCTTACCCTCTGGAGCAGTCTGGCAGCAGGTGACCTGTTTCTGAGAGAGGTAGGAGGTGATGCTGTCAGGGGTACGTTACAAGGCGTGCAGGCCCAATAGGCAGACCCACTGAATCGGATGGAATTAGGACCGTGATGCATCTTGAACCTTTCTTCCCAGGGACAGTGAAGGTGAAGAGTTCCAACATCCAGGTGGGCGATCTCATCCTCCTTGAGAAGGTGAGTCGAGACTGGGGACTCGGCGTGGGTTTGCCCTCTGCAGTGTCTGCCGCCAGTCAGTTCTCACCTGCATTCCGTGTAGCCGCAGCCTCATGGGATGCATGCCCTGGGAGGGAATCCCCCCTCTCCCCCACCAACTCTGCTCAGCGGAAAGAGAGCTTTCATAGGAGACACAAAGAAAAAAGAAATCCCTCCCTTCCCCATGTTTACCTGTGCCAGAATCCTGCTCAGAAGCCCAAGCACAGTTTTTTATCTTCTCTTGGGGTCATTCTTTCTTTTTTTGGGGTGAGGTAGGGTGGTTACTGCTCATCAAACCGAATAGCTCTGTGGCATAGCAGTAGTTCGCAGTTGGGCTGATAACTGCAAGGTCAGCAGTTCGAAGCCACGGGCCGCTTTGTGGGCAAAAGAGGAGACTTTCTACTCTTGTTAGGGTTTACATTACAGCCTCAAACCCACAGGGGCAGTTCTACTCTGTCCTATAGGGTCACCTGTGAGTTATAATTGACTTGATGGCAGTTTGTCTGTCTACGTACCATATTTCTAGAAATCTGCTTGCTACATGTGTGCTTGAATATTATTCACGGGCTTTCACCTCTTGAGAAGTTTTAGCTGGCATCCACTGATATTAAACTGTGCTTTTCCCCATTTTATGGGGAGCAGAGGTTCGGGGTAACATAGCGACAGTAAAGGACCGCAAGTGTGTTTTCCTGAAAGCACTTGTTCCTGTGCTTGTCACCTGGGCCCGAGTCGTCTCTGCTGACTGGAGGGCCTTGGCATTTGATATTTGGTATTTGAGGAGAAAAGAATTGTGTCCTGACGTGTTTCGGTCGGAGTGAACTGTGCTCTTTTAAAAGGACACATCTCAGAATTCCAAGTGGATCTGACGTAAAGGGAAACAAACTGCCTTTGGATGACAGCTCAGAAGCCCCCCTCTCCTGGTCTTATGTGTTATACTTGATGTACTCCTCTGTTTGTGATGAAAAGAGGCAGTTCTCGGCTCCTCCCTTCCTCCCACCCTTCCCTGGAGAATGGCTTCCTGCCGGTGGTTTGCTTCCTGGTGGAAACCCCACTCACACGTGGCCTGAAGCAGGGGCTGGGAGGAGCGGGACTCGTGAGCCTAAGAGGCTGTCAGAAAGGCAGCCTGAGTGGCAGACTGTGGGCCGGCATCAGCATCCTGTGACGGGGCGCCGGAGGGAAGGGCAGATTGTTCAGAACCACCACCGCCCCAGAAGGCCTTTTGTTGAGACAAGGTTTCCATAGGGGATTAGTCCTCAGATCCAAACCCAAAGAAATCCCCACCTCCGCCTTGGACCGTGGCAGCCACTTCCAGACACGGTGGGGTTTGGTACCGGCCCTCCCCCAGACCCACATGGCCTGCATAGTAACAGTCTGTTCTTCTCACAGAACCAGAGGGTCCCCGCTGACATGATCTTCCTGAGGACATCCGAAAAAAACGGTAAACATCTGGCATCAATCTGGAGAAAGTACCCATTAACCTTTCAGTGGTAATTTGGCAAAATAATCATTTGAAAATGTTACGTACAATTTTGAGGTAGTAGATACAATTTGGGGACTTCAGAGGCGAGTCAAAGGCATTAAAAACAAAAAGAGCCCCCTTTTTTTCCTGTTTTTAACCAAGAAACAATAGCAACACAACCCCCTCCCCCCACATATCTGGTCCTTGCAGGTGTGGTCACAACAAAGGTACCTGGTGTCAGGGCCCTGATGAGCCGGGCAGTGGTGTTGCTTGCTGGCTGGGTAGGCCCGCTCAGCTTCAGGAGTTAGCAGGGTGAGGTAGTCTGAAGTCTAACCGAGGCATGGAAACACAACCTCGCTCTTTAAGAGATGTGGGGTGGGACCCCAAGAGACGTGGGGTGGGGAGACTGGGCAGTTTTGTTCCATCCTTCCACTGTGAGTGGTGGGATCATGCTAGCCCCCCCGCCCCCCCACCCCCCAATGCCTGCCAGAGTGAATCTCACCCATCTCGACAACCGCTGTCAGTTGCCGTTACTTTCCAGCGTGGCTGCCACCCTTGCCTGCCCACCCCACCCAAAACCAGAGGCCGTGGATTTGGCTTCGACTCGTGGCCACCCCCGTGTGGCAGAGTACAGCGGTGTGAGGTTTTTCATGGCTGGTGTTTTAGGAGTAGAATGCCAGACCTATCATCCGAGCTACCTCTGCGTGGACTTGAACCTCCGACCCTGGGGTTATCAGCTGAGGGCATTTACCTTTTACACCACCTGGGGATTTGGCTCTCCCTATCACATGACTTATCTCCCCATCAGCCACATGCTAAAGGAACTTCTATTTTATTTCTTTGTTAAAGGTCACTGCAGCCTACCTGATTATAAATTGAATACAAGTACAGATGCAATTCTGTATGAACAATCTGTGAAATAATCAGCTGAGTAGATAAAAGTCTGAAATGAAGACAGAGGAGTTCTGATGGCTTCCTGCAGTGGTTCTCAACCTTCCTCATGCCGAGACCCTTTAATACAGGTCCTCATGTTGCGGTGACCACCCCTCCCCCAACCATAAAATGATTTCGTTGCTACTTCATCACTGTCATTTTGCTACTGTTATGAATTGGGTGACCCCTGAGAAAGGGTTGTTCAACCCTCAGAGGGGTCCCGACCCACAGGTTGAGAACCGCTGGCTTGGTGGTACACATTACGTTGTTAACCTCAAGATCGTTGGTTCAAACCCACCAGCTGCTCCACAGGAGAACCAGGAGGCTTTCTGCTTCTGTAGATTCGGTCTCGGACCCACAGGCACCGCTGCGCTCTGTCCTGCAGGGTCACCATGAGTCGGAATTGGCTTGACGGCAGGAGTTGGGTTTTCGAGATTAAACAGACTTTAAGAACCAGCCGTCTTGCTCTCCAGTTGGTTATTATGTTTTATTCAGTGAAAGGGCAGCATTCCATTTTCGGGCCCCTGAAATGTTCTCCCCTTCTTTGGAAGCTATATAGCTACATAGATCGTTGGTAGGTAGATCAATAGATAGAGTAGGTAGGCTCAAAGCTTAGCTGACACTCTGAAGAATCTAATACGTACTCTATCTGATGGCATATATACAGGAGGTAGGAGACTTTCAAAAGTTTTGGGAGATTCCATTTTCTTTCCAATGTGTTTGTCCATAAGCTTCCCGAACATGCCTCCCTCTGGCCCATGGGCGTCGATTGGCTATTGGAGATGCCAGCGGCATGCTTGTGGCCCAAGAGAGGTGTTCTTCAACTGCCAGCAACTAGACGTGCCCTTCTTCCCTCCATAGGATCTTGCTTCTTGCGCACGGACCAGCTGGACGGGGAGACGGACTGGAAGCTGCGGCTCCCTGTGGCCTGCACCCAGAGGCTGCCCACTGCTGCGGTGAGTGGCTGGCCCTGCAGAGACGGGGCAGGGCGCGTGCAGGCAGGGGTCCTGGAGAGCTTCCAGTGCTTGTTGGTGCCCGTGGATTGGGGCCATGCCAGGTGCAGGGCTCAAGCTTGTCCAGGGGAAGCTGAGACTCTTAACGCAGCGCAGGGTTACCTCTCAAGAATGGAAAGGTAAGGTGAGCCGTAGATGCCGTGGCTCTGTCTGGACGGTGAGCTCCTCCTCCTCCTCTGGTAGCTCGGTGCCGTGAGTGGGTTCCAGCTCATCTTGGAGGACATCATGCTTGGTAAAGGAAGGGCCGGTGACAAAGAGGGACGAGGCGCGGTGACACAGTGGTTGCAACTGCAGGCTCAAGTCTAGCAGCGATCGTGAGACGACTCAGGACAGGGCAGCGCCGAGGTCCACTGTGCTTCAGGCCGCTGTGCGTTTGAACCGACACAACGGCACCACCACCACCGACACCCCACGGGATTTGCCAGAGAAAGGGTTCTGGTCCTCAGAGAGATTTGCGGGGTTGTGTGTGGAGGCAGCCTCGAAGAGCCTAGGAGGGGTCGGACTGCCTAGTGAGAAGCGCTCACCCAGTGGTTATTTCTTGGTCCTTGCTTTGCAAGTGTCGTCCAATCTAACGAGTGCCCACAGGAGCCCCGGTGGCATCGTGGTGAGGCGTTGGGCTGCTCACCGTCAGGTCAGCAGTTTGAAGCCATCGCTGCTCCTTGGGAGAAAGCGGTGGCCGTCTCAGAAACCCAGAGGCGGGTCTTCCGTGCCCTGTACAGTTGCCCTGAGTCAGAATCGATTCAGTGGCAGTGAGTTTTGGAAGTCCTGTCTCTTGTCTGGCCCAGGCCAGGGCTGGGCTTCAGAGTTGGTAATGCAGGGTCCTCTGTGTCAGCAGGAGCCTCAGCTGTTATGGGCCTCTGGGGGCCTGGCGGGGGAGCAGCGTTCCAGCCAAGCTGAGGAGGATTCTGTGATGGGAGGGGGACTTCAGAAACTACACAGAAAGAGCCCGCTATCTTTTTAATTCCATTTCCCCACACACTTTTCGACTCCTCCTGGGCTTAACAGATCACCCAAGTAAGACAGGAGTATGTTCTGGATTTCCACAAGTCAGATTCTGGGAAAAAGTACTGAAAGTTCTGTCAGACAAATTGAGAAGTCCTGCAGAGGCCTGCAGCCTGTGCCCGTGGATTCCAGCCCACCCCTGGGCACGTGGGGCAGCGGTCTTGCCATTGATATGGTGTTGCTGAACACTTGGTGGCTGCCCCCTATGACAGCGCGCGCGCACACACACACACACACACACACACACACACACACACACAGTAGAGGTGCCACTATGGCCGGGTCTGGAGACTGAGGCTGCTGGAAGCATCTCTGTAAACTCTCAGTGGCTGGTGGGGGAGGAGCAGGGCGAGCCCTGGGGTTTGCCTCATCCTTGACACCCAGCGGGAAGCCTCGACCAAGGCCTCCCTGCCAATGACCTTCCTATCAGGTGGCAAAGCCACAGAGATGGAGCGATTCCTATCATGTCCTATGTGTGTGTGTGTGTGTGTGTGCTACAGTCACATTTTATCAGGGTTTGTAATCTGCCCCACCCCCTGTCTTCCCATGGGATTACTCAGTGCGACCTTATTTCCTGAATCTGGGGGCTTGGGGGTGGGTGGCATTCTGCGCCAGGACTTAGTGCCCCATGCTACCATCTGACCCAGAGCTCTTTCCTGCCTGGGGTCTGAGGGCCTCATTTCCCCCTCCCCACAGAACTCCTTCTCTGCCCTCTGTGGTTTGTTCTGGAAGTGGCCACTTCTTCCCCCGGCTCTGTCTGTCTGCCAGTGAGCGAGGTCTGCGTTGGCGTAGGTGTGTGAATGCAATAGGTTTTCCACACTTGGTGCTGTATAGCACTGCTTTTTAAATTTCTTCATTTGTTTTTAAAGTAAATATATATGTCAGGAACATTTGCCCTTTTGACATCCCTCAAAACATGCACCCCTTAGGCCCATTAGGGTGTTCATGCCACCACCCCCACTATCCATTTCTGGTTTCCTATCCGTCTCCCCTCCCCCACCCCCAGCAGAGCTGTGTCTCCCCCCACCCCATCCCCGAAGTTGGCTTTGGAAGGGACTTGCATCGAGATGTCTCATTTTGCCTTCACAGTCTTAGCACCTGCCAGGGTGGGGGCTGGGGTGGGGGGGACTGGTTCCTGTCTCCCTCTGCTCTTCATGGGGCAACGTGGGGAAGCATGTCCATCGCCAGGTACATGCCCTGTAAGCCAGCGTTGAACAAGAGGGTGCCCACCCATTTGGGGGAGATAGCCATGGGTGCTTGGGAAATGCTGGGTAGACACAGTTTTGTGATTGTCTTGACTCTAGCCACCCCCATCGGTGTTCGGGGGTGGGGGTCGTGTGCTTTTAGACGTTCCCCCCTCTCCCCGCCATCTGGAGAGTCTGTTCAGAAGAAGGCACAGCTGCTGTTGAAACAACAGTGAGTCGGTTTTAACTCCAAAATATCTCCTCTCGACCAGGATCTGCTTCAGATTCGCTCGTATGTGTATGCGGAGGAGCCGAATATCGACATCCACAACTTTGTGGGCACTTTTACCAGAGTGAGTACGCTGCCCTGCCCCCGGCAGCGCGTTGTCAGGGGCAGCTCCCACTCCTTCGAGAAGGCCCCACCTGGACGCTGGACGTGCACTGGGGCTTCCTGTGAGCGATGGGACAGCTGAGCTCACCCAGCAGCTCGGTGCCAAGAGCAGGTGCAGTCAGCGCCACTGGTGTCGAGAGCAGCTGCTCCCTGCCTCCGTCGGGCGGGCCCTCGCCCCCTTTGTCGGTGCTACGGGTGGGCTTTTTCTTCCTTCGTTGTGGCACGTGGACATATATGTATTATACGCACATAAATAAAACAAATAGTTTGCCAATCCAATCAAGTAGGTGGGAAAATTCCATTCTCCACCCCCAACCCCCAGCAGTTTTATTGGCATCTCATTCAAATATCATACAAGTCAGTAGTTCAGTCACATTGAGGCGAGCGGTCCAAGCATCAGCTCCTTCCACTTTAGAGCATTTTCTTTGTTCTTGGCCTGGTTATTAGCTGCCCCCCCCAACCTCCCCTGCCACACCCCCAAGTAACCATTCATCTAGTGACTGTACACTCATCCATCCCGAAACTCCGTTCTTTCCCTTCAGCACTCCCACAGTTTGTCAAGTCCCGCCCCCATGCAGTTCAGTGATATGATGAAACGGAACGTGCTGTCCAACTGTCCCCACGATCCCTTTCCTAATTGTCCCCCCACCCCCACAGAGACTCAGTGTTTCTTAAACACTGGCTTTCTTTATGCCCTCCCCCTTCCTCACCCCCCAATCCCCGGGTGAACCTTGCTCTCTGGATGCCTGCCCCTCCCTCTAAGACCAGTGACTCATACAGGGTTTGCCCTTCAGTGACGGAGGGACCCACACAGCGTCATGTTTCTGAGGTTCAGCCGTGTGTGGCTTGTGTCCTCATTCATTGTGGTTTCTACGCCCCACTCCAGGACTTGCACATTGGAAGTTAAAGTGGAAATGAGATCACCATAGAAATATGGGACGATTCATTCACAGAACCCAAATGACGTGCTGGGTGTTTTTTTTTAAAGTGTGTTTTTGGTGAATGTTTATACAGCAAAGTAGGTGTCCATATTAACCGTGGCGTCCCGTACACATGGTTCAGAAGCCTGGGTTACCCTTTCCATAACATGTCCACGGTCTCATGATCTCGATTCTGGGTGTTTTATTTCTGCCACCTGGCTTCCCTGCCCCCTGACCCTTTTGCCTTGGTTGTAAAGTCACCGCTGACCATTTTCAGAGGCGCTTCCTGGCCTTTAGACTGGCCAGCACTGCCTGTCCATGCTCGCTTGGCGTCTGCACCTCAGTGCTCGCCTTGCTCAGCATCCCTCAGTGTCCGAGGCCAGCACTCCTTCAATCACGTGGCCACGGTGACAAGTCCTCACGTGGGAGAGAGAAAACACCTAGGACAGGGCTTTGTGATTCCCTACCCCAGTTCTTCTCTCATCGCGAAGCTGTGTGCTGCAAATGGAGCTCCCGGTCTGATCAGCGGAAAAACAAAATCCCCAAACAGCGGCCTTCGGCCCGATGCCCTCAGAGTAGACCTGTGCCCCGTGGTTTTCATACTCTCTCACTGCCCTTAAGGCCATGCGGCCCTCTGGCGACCTGTGGACAGGGTAGACCTGCCCCTGTGGGTTTCCGAGGCTGTTCATCCTGTAGGAACAGAACGCCTCGTCTTTATTCCATGGTACAGCTGGTGGGTTAGAACCACTGACCTTGTGGTTTGCAGCCCACGTGGTACCCCATTGCACTACTGGGCACATAGATGGCCAGCCTGTTCTTCCAAGGTGCCTCCGGGCAGGGGTGGGTGGGGTCTATCAGCCTTCTGCTAGTACGGGGTGCATAACCACCCCACCACCCAGGGGTTCCTGCATGGGGGGTGCCCTCTTTCTGTCCGAAGAAGAACGCACTGGAAGCAGCCTCTGCATTCTGCCACCATCTTGGCAGGTAAACGAGTGTCCATTTGGTCTCTTTAGGAGGACAGCGATCCTTCCATCAGCGAGAGCCTGAGCATCGAGAACACGCTGTGGGCAGGCACCGTCATTGCGTCAGGTACGGGCGGGCGCCAGGCCGCCGGAATGTGGTAGCAATTTGAAAAGGAAAGAAAATCCCTTTGTAATTACAATAATGACCTGTCAGTTGGGAAAATTAGACATCAGTCAAATGGTGTCACCCCGCTTGTCCCGGGACCTCTAAGAGTCATCCTGACATGTGATCGCCCCTCAGACACTTGGGCGTGGAGCTGGGGTGGGCAGGGGGGCGCCTGGCAAAGAGGCTGCTCTGGCCTTTGGATGTGGCTGCAGCGTCCCCTGACCTGGGGAATACCCTTCATTACCACTGCACACGGGCATATACTCTGTACCAGAAACGTGGGCTGCCGGGAGCCCTCGCTGCCGGCGGATGGGGTCCAGTCCCCGGGGAAGCATCCTGGCCTGAGCGAGAGCCCCAGGCCGCCGAGCACCAAGGTGATTGGCTACCTTGTGAGTTTTTAAAAGCCTTCATTGTGGTGAAAACAAACATGCCCACCCCTGCCCGTTGCCACAGTCTCTCACTGTGGGTTCCTTCCTCCGCGACCGCCGGACTCCGCTTGCCCCCAGCAACCGCTATGAATCTGTGGTCTTTTGTTTTTGAGGTTCATTTTTGTCTTTAACAAAGTGTCCTGTGAGTTCCTCCTCCTGTTACGTCCTCACAACGTTAAGTGAGAAGGTTGCGTGGAATAAGGAACCGGTCTCAGGTGACAAAGCTTGCCCAGGTTACACTGCCCACCCAGAGGGTGGGCATCCTGAGTGGGAGAGAAAGGCTCTTGCCCCCAGACTCC